CGCGACTGAGAGCTTAGTGTCAACAGCTCAGCATGGCTTTGTGTCTTGTAGATCAACTGTTATTAGTTTCGTGATTTTCTCTCTGCTATTAATAGTCGGGTTCACGTACATACATACATATGTAGGTACTGTATGTACCTACTTCTCCAAAGCACCTAATTCCTGGTACCTAAACTAGCTAATTCAGGCTTTCACACCGTGTTTCTATCTTGGGTTGAAAAAATATGTATGTATGGTGCAATGTAAGTCGCATACCACTAAATACGAAAAAATGTTTTCATATATCTTTTTACAGAGATTTTTTATACTAACTTCTTACTCGAATTATTGCAACTATTGTAGAATCCTATACTATGCTTGCTTTTAGCCTTCGGTTTAACTAGCTCTGAGTTTACAGACCCCTATACATTTACAGCTGTAGTACGCTCCAAGCTGGAATATGCCGTATTCGTCTGGGTACCCTATTAAGAGTGTCATAAAATTCGACTTGAGCAAATTCAAAGAACTTTTGTGCGCTTTTCGCTGCATTATTTGCATCTCACGGACCCGTTGCTCTCTTATAGTGTCAGGTGCAAGTTAATCAACCTTATGGATAAAACCACGACGCAGCGAACAAAAGTGGCGTCGTAAAACGTACCGCTACTTTCGTTTTGCCGATTTTGACAGTTCTGAACTAAAAGTAAACAACGCTTCAGAAACCTTAACTGCACTGAAATTCACTACACTGAGCCAAAAGCACAATGTTTTTGTCTGTAAAGTAATGTTTGAGTTTTTCATGGCAAATAAATACACCGATTATAAGAAATGTAATTCAAGTTGAACATTTGAAAGCACATTTGTATGTCTCGCTCTAGCTAAACGTGCAGAGATGCTCGCTGTTATTTGTTAGCTTCCAGCAGGTTCGGGTTCGAATGACGTCGAAGGAAAGATATAGTTTTTTATACCCGAGCGCACTTGTGCACAAGGGTATTATAACTTTGTTCTCATAACGGTTGTTTGTAACAGGCAAAACGAATCGAGATAGATATAGACAAATGTATACATAAATGATCAGAATGAAAAGAGAAATCGATTAAGCGGTAACTGTAACTGTCTTTACACGATAACTCGAGTAAAAATTGAGATATCTAACGAAACTTGGTACGTGTACTTCTTTCGGGCGTAGGAAGGTATTGGAAACGGGTAAAATCGCCTACCTCCCATATAACGGTAGTTTTCGAAAATTCGAAAACTGCGATATATTAGTAACTACTGCAGCTTATTCACTCAAAATTGATATTTACAATGATTTTTAGACGAAAAATAGGAGTATTATACATTTTTGGAAAATGGGCGTACCCACGGCCATTGTTAATTTAAAAAAAAAATCTCCTCGATTCCTTTTTAAGTTTGAATTTGGTAATAAACCAAATTTTGGTTGATTTTTTATCAGCGTATTACTTCAACAAAAACCACGGTTTTTACAAGCTTTAGTTATGTTTCACCAGTGTGTAATCAAATGTCGTAATATATTTTTTAACCAACTTCCCGATGAGCTAGAGACTTGAAACTTCAAACTGGTTCGGAGCAAGATGACAATGCAATATGAAAAGGATTAATTTGCTGAATGGCGCAGGTATCGAGATATTTGTAAAAAACCGTATTTATGATCTGATAGGGTTCATATTTGGAATGTATATTAATTACATGAAATTAATTTTTTCGGTAGATGGCGTAGGAGTCAAGATATTCAGAACATATTTTTTAAATTCTTCTTTTTTCTTACTAAGCACTATTAAAGAATTTCTAGAAAATGGTAACTTAACACAAAAGATATCCGCTAAGCTCTGACTGAAAAAATTTTGTATGTCCTACATTCCAAAAGTTGTTGTACGCGGCACACTGTGGGATGGCGCAATCTTGTATTCTATCATTCTTGAGATAATGCAAAAATTATTCTTTCGCTGATAGTGGTTTTCGATATAATACCCAGAGCAATTGACTCGCCATTTTTACTTGAGCCATTTTACTTCCAGAACTCTCCGGAACCATGATATTTTCATTTTAGAATATTATATGCATCTAATTCTACAGTTACAACGCAATTAAAGAGTATAATTCGCCCCCAAATTCTGTAGATATCGATTTTTCTTTATCGAAAACTAAGTTTAAGCTATCATTTTTTTATTTTTATTATTTATTAGCCAATGAATACCATAAAATTCTTATAGGCTAAGTGGAATAGAATATAATACAATCATTCTTAAAATAAAAAACAATAGAGAAAATAACTACTTATAAAAAAGCTTCAGGGAGTTCTTGAAGCGACTTCTTAAAAATGAAAAATCAATCTCGTCACACTGAGAGATTCCGTTCATAGGCGGGAATAGAGGGTCCGAAAAGCATAAGCTACGAAGCGCAAAGCGCAAAAATAACTATTGTATACGTTCGATCCTTGTAATATGACATGATGTATGGAGATTAGATAAGGACGCGTATTCAAGCCTATAGCGAACAAATGCCATATATAGCAGTTTCAGTGTATAAGGATCGGTGAAATCCGAGCTATGACGCCGCACAAACGCAAGCATAGCATACGATTTAGAAATAAGTAAATTTTTAAGCAAAAAACAAGGCCGACTTCAATTCTCATATACAAATTTAAGAGCACCGTTAATTTCTTCATGATCCAACGATCGGATCTAAACCAGATGACATGTTGTTTTTCTTTAAATATTCACATTGCTTTTGAAGTTAAAATCTTTATGCTATTTTCCTTAAAAGTATTGTTTTTGCTATCACCAAAACCACATAAATTAAACTCGTCAAACTTTATAAAAAATCTGAGAAGATTTAACAAATTTTCATCAAAATTTCTTACTTTTTAAGAAATTCATGTTCTTTTGGAAGGAAATGCAAAAGGTCGTTCACATATAAAATTTAAAAAATCTACGCGAATTTTCAACCGGTTGAAGCTTGCCCTTTATCATACTAAAATTTCATTACCTATAAAACTGCTAATTTTCTAAAAACTAAGATTAAGAAATTAGAACTTTTGATGACAATTTGTTTAATTTTCCTAAATTTTGTACAAAGTTTGATATTTTAATTTATATGGCTTTAGTGATACAGGCTGCAATTTGGTAGCATGTTTTGGTAAAAATACAATTCTGCCACATCCGACCAGTTCGATGGTTGCTTTTCACGTTTCTTTTACCCTATGAGCCTCTTTCCAAAACCGTCGAAGCCTTTTACATATATTTTAGACGTTCAAGTCAATATCACGAGTATTTACATTTTCTAAATCAGGCAATGTCTCCAATAGATGTCCCAAACCTTTCTCATATTTTTCCACTTCTGTACCACTCAGGAGGTACCAGAACTCAAACATTTTATTCCTTGAAAGGGACAGATGTATGAATTACCTGTTAGTTAATAAAAAAAAGTAATTAATTTAAATTAATTAATAAAATCGGACCTTAAATATGGGATTTCGAATATCTCAACACCTGCGCCACCTAGCGGATTAATTGTTATTGCATTGCCATCGGGTTCTGAGGTAAGTTTGCAGTTTCAAGTCTCTACCTCATCGGGAAGTTGGTTAAAAATGAATTTCAAGATTTGATTACACAGGTGAAAGTAAATAAAAGCTTGTAAAAAACATATTTAGCTAAAGGGTCGGCTAGTAGCGGGTGTGTATCAAATAAACGTGCAGCTAAAGTATATATTATTTTAATCTACAGAAAATGAGCTTTCATTAAAAAAAAAGGAAGAGTGGCCTTGAGTGCCAGGGTTTTTAAAAGTGTATGTAAAAAAGGTTCAGCAGAAATTAATTAAAGGAAAAATAGACTTGGATTAGAACCGACATAAATAATACAGCTAATTATTAATAAATATTGATAATTATTGTTCTAAATAGGATCACTTACCTTTGTCTGGAATTTTTATTACAGAGTTTATTGAATGAATTCCGCGTTTTTTGTAAAATAAATATAAAAAAATTTAGAAGTATTGAGTCACTGTCAACTTTCGAGAGTGAGGAAGTATTCTTAACAATTTTTTATCGCAAAAAAAATTTACACTGTATTGAAGTACCATTAATAATGACTGATTGCCTGTCAATCAATCACAGGTTAGAAAATGTGCATATTTTTGAGTTTTGACCTCCGGCTGAACCACTGTGCAGTGGTCAGATTTTAGGTTTAAATAACCTGGTAAGGAAATCTCCTTAAGTAAACATCACTGGTGTCTGTTTCCCGATACAATTGTGAAGGCCTGTTTACATACAACTTGGCGTTGCGTTGGCGTCGCTTCGACAGCAAACTATGACTACATGCATTTATATGAAAGTCCCCACATAATCAAAGTTGGGCAACGCCGACGCCAACACAACGCAGAAAGATGGCCAACCCTCAACTTTTTGTGCGCGTTCGTCAGCTGTTCCAAATAATCAAAGTTATGTGATTTAATTTTCATTTTTAATCAAATGCAGGCATTCGGATTTTGGACACGAGAGAGTGTGGATCGACGTGTAAATCGCTTGTGAACTAAATCTTTGTTAATTGTGCGTACAGTCTACCACGTTTTTCTTTTCAATAAACCTAAGGGCTTTTTGAGTGGTACCGCGTGTGAAAAATTAAACTATCTATCATAATATTACATTAAAAACTAGCTGCATACTTTCGTCGAATTTGGTAAGTGATTTTGGCTACTTTCTATATACCTAAAACAAGTTAAGTGCACTTAAATTCTCCAAGTTGCATGCTAAAAAGAAAAAAAAAGTTGCGTCTGGTGACGCAAACTAGACAAAAGGCCAAAATGGCGTCGCTGGCTCGCGAGTCAGCGACGGCAGGTGCATCCTCCACCGATGTGGGATGCGGCACGGCCAAAAAACCCAGAATTTTAGAAAATGATGATGTAA